CTCTCTCTCTCTCTCTTCCTCTCGCTCTCAGTACGCAGTATGTCTGTGCTGCTGCCTGTGCTTGAATTCCCATCTGTACGTCCACAAGCGTAAGCGTGTACGTGCTTATGCATGCATGCAGGTAATGCAGGTATGATGTATACATTCAACATGCTGACATACACCTGCACACGCACCATACACACCGGGAGCGCGAGAGTCATATCGAGATGATAGGAAGCAAGTGCAAGATTGTCCACAGGATGCAAGCTCGCCGACTATGAAAGTGTTGGGGCTAACCCTGCTGCTTGAGGACGGCCTCCAGCGGGCGCTGCGGACTTGTGAAAGACTCGGGGAGCAGACTGCCTGGCGCCAGGCACATGAAGCTTCGGGTGCGAAGTGCAGTAGAGCTGTGCATCATCAGCAACACCAGCTGCTATCACCGCTACGATTGTCAAAAGGAAATCGCCTTCATCACTCGCAACATCACCATCACCAGAAACAACAACATGACCGCTCAGATCATTCACACAGCCCTACGCCCCTATCATAAACATCGCTGTTATCGTGATCGTCGTCTTCATCCTTACCACCATCCCAAGCCCCATCATCGACACACTCCCCACCAACATCATGACCGCTAGAAACATCAACAACAAGAACAGCAACATGATCATCATCAGCACCATGACTGCCATCAAACTCTCTAGTGTCGTCGTAAGTCACCAGTTGGCTGTGACTGCCGAAACTTGGCATAGTCTTAGAGAAAACAGGGAGAAGCCAACAAGTTGGAATGCGGAAACCGGAAACATGTTGTCTGTACTTCTTTCCTAAAGCTGGTGATATTCAAACTTCTTGCTTCTAAATCTACTGTAAGTAACAGATCTCAGAAGCATTAGCAGCATGATAAAACACACAGATAACTTACATCGCGGTAGTATCAACGGAGATAACGACTTGTAGCGACAGAAGTCAGGGTCGTGGCTTTCACTGCATCAGAGTCTTCTGTTCGCAGAAGCTCTCCCGCTCCTTCATTGCCTTTCTGCTCCATGTTCCCTACCCGCGCACACAACAAAGTCAAAGCGGCAAAGCGAAACAGTATGTCGATGGTAACCCCAGCAGGCGCCTTGTTGAGTTGACAACCCTGGACCGGATGTCGGAAAACGGATCCAAATTAATCCTCAAAAACTGGTACCGCCCACAATGCCAAGCAGTCCGGCCTGGCATGGCCTGGGAACCAAGAGGCCTTCGCATCTCCTCTCTGAGCCACCCCGAATATGAAGAAAGCACAAAGCAAAGCAATCTGTTGTGTCGTTGTCGGTGTTGCTGCAACAATGTCAGGTCTGTGTTAGTGGTTCTCGCAGGCTGATTTCAGAACGTATACATCTTGTCATTTGCAGTCGTCGTCGTCGACTCTGCGGCCAGCGTCGTAGCAGCTCAATAGTAGTAGGAGCGGCAGCATCAGCAGCAGCTGCCTTTTGATCAGGAGCAGTCGCTGTTGTCGACATTATGAGGCACTGCAGTGATTCATTTTGGCACTGCTGCTCGAGCATAAGCTACAGTTGCTGTCGTCACTATCTATGAGTGCGGGGATGAGGATGGTGATAATGATGGTCATGGTGATGATGATGATGATGATGATGAGGATGATGAGGATGATGAGGATGAGGAGGAGGAGGAGGAGGATGGCATTGACGACGATGACGACCATTCCCATGACAATGACAATGACGGCGCTGATAACGATGACGATCTTAATGGTTGACTGCATTGGCGCTGACAGTAGCATGGTCAGACTATCACGATGCCTACTATCAACATTTGCAGTGACTGTCTAGTAGTCTAGTACTCGATCCTGTAATCTCACTGCACATACACTACGAATCAACAGCAGTTGGACGTCTTGGCAAGCTGCACCGGGTCGTCGGTCGCTCTCTAGCTTCGATAGCAGGAAGCATCTCCTCCAAAACGTCAGGAACTCCATTGCGATCTGCGTCGACAGGGTAGAGACCGTCTGCCTTACCTGAACTCGGCAATGCCGATGAACCAGCAGCCCGAATCCCAAACACGAACCTGGCTAGGCTATCGCGACTCCTGCTGCTGCTGCTGCTTCCATCGCCACTGCGACTGCTACTGTTATTGCACGGATACTGCTGCTGTACTAGTGCAAGTCGTTCTCGCAGCGATAGCAGCGATGGTAGCTAGCACCAGCAGGAGCAGCATCAGCAGCAGTAGTAGTAGTCGTCGTCGTAGCAGTAGCAGTAGCAGTAGCAGCAGCGGCAGCGGCAGCAGCGGCAGCGGCAGCAGCAGCAGCAGCAGCAGCAGCAGCAGTGCAGCGAAGACTGCTGGTAGCAGGCACCGGCGCTTCGCACGGAAGTAAGACAAGCAAAATCATCAACATCATGATGAGTGAGA